GTATTTATGCTGCAGCAGGACTGGCGTGACAATCGCTGTCTGCTCTTGTGGTTGCCTTCCTAGAGTCTGTGTTTATGGAAGATGGGGATTCAACTCCTTGGAGTCTACTTTATAGCCAAGCTGAGTTCTGAAAGGGTTATATTCAGTGGGACACATGCAGAGACCCAAAGATTCCAGCACGAACACATTCAAACTTTGTGCCTCCCCAGGCAATGCTTTATTTCTCTCTTTCATGACACATAGTTAAGAAAAGCACCTAAATGAGAAGTCACATGTATAGATAAGAAATACCATTTTATTCAATATCCTCCGTGAGTGTTAGCAGCAGAATAGTTATTTACACAGCTGATGCAAAAGAGTCAATGGTTATAGCTGTATGCACTGCTTTGTTTGGCAGATATGTGTGTGTACACTGTATGGGTAGTGGTGTATCTTTCTCACGTTCTGTGAATGACTTTTGGCATCGCAAGGTAACAACTTCTGTTTTCCACTAGAGGCCAGTAACGTGTTGCAGCATGGCTTTAGCAGGAAGCCCCATATTTTTTTCCTCACAGACCTGTTGCTCAGTTGCTCTGTTTGATTCAGGATAATTATTTTTTATTTTTGGAAATGCTTCATCCTCTTACAAATTGTAATTCAACTAAAAATTCTTCCTTTTAGAGTTTGTTTATCTAAAACTTCAAGGAATTAAATAATTCCTCACCTTTGCACCTTCCACATTTTCCGTTTGAGCTGTTGTTCACTCTTCCAAATTCCATGAACCATGCGAGGCATCAAGAAGGCAATGGGAAGTGGGTGATATTGCTGGTAACTTTCACTGGTAGTGGTAAAAGAGAATGTGTGTTCATGGAATCACAGAATGGTTGAGGTTGGAAGGGACCTCTAGAGATCATCTAGTCCAACCCCCTGCTCCAGCAGGGTCACCTAGAGCACGTGGCACAGGGTGGCATCCAGACAGGTTTGGAAGGTCTCCAGTGAAGGAGACTCCACAACCTCTCTGGGCAGCCTGTGCCAGGGCTCTGTCACCCTCTCAGGAGAGAAGTTCTTCCTCACATGGAGGTGAAACTTCCTGTGTTTCATCTCTCACTTGTTACCCCTTGTCCTGTCACTGGCCACCACTGAGAAGAGCCTGGCCCCATCTTCCCTACAATCACTCCTCAGGTACTTGCACATATTCATCAGATCCCTCTCAATCTTCTTTTCTCCAGACTAAACAGGCCCAGATCACTTAGTCTCTCCTCATTTGATAGATGCTCCAGTCCCTTAATCATCTTGGTTGCTCTCCGCTGGACCCTCTCTAGAAGCTCCACAACCCTCTGGGAAGCCCAGAACTGCACCCAGTCCTCCAGGTGCAGCCTCACCCTGATCAACTGCTATTATGAAGAAATCAGGAAAGCTGAGGTGTTTTTTATTATATATATAATATATATATAAATATATATATGCTTTTAAAATGCTGAGACAACCTTTACATTTAGCCCTCGAGGCTGATTTAGAACTTGGAGCTTGTGGGAGAGGCAGTGATGATGGTGGCCCAGGCTGGGCACACTGCAGCCAAATCCCAGTGTGTCCGAGAGCACGAGCCTTGGCCTTGCATTTGTCAGTTGTAAGCCACTATGCAGCACAGCTTTCGGGCTATTCCACGGTGCAATGAAGCATCATTTTGGACTAATGTTTGGCATTGTTTAACTCTTTTTACGAGGGAATCATCCTAGATGTCACTGATGTCAAACTGCAGCTGAGCAGCAAAGCCTGCCCACACTCTGTCATCTCGTCTTTGAGCAACTCTTTAACCTCCCCATTCCTTAGGTTCTCTCTGGATCCTGGGCATACAACACTGCCCTTTTTGACAGTTATGGTGACGTTAATGTCAGTAGAAGCCCTCAAATACTGGGATGATGTGGCCAGGTATCTCCTCGACAGCAGAAGCAAACCTGGGAACTGCCTGCATGTTTCCTGGCTCAAATTGGCAAGAAATACGTTTCTTAGTTCGAGGAAGGCCTATGGCCTGACACAGCCACTGCTTCATGCATTAACTGGAAGGTTCTTCAGAATTTCTTCGCTGCTTAGCAGGGTGTCTTGTGTGAGCTGAGCAGATGTGTAAGCTCTCCTGTCGCGTCGCGTCTGAGTCTCCTCGTGCAGCTGGGCTTTGGCTGCTTCTCCTAGGTTGAGAGGCTTCTCTGAGCATGGCTGGGGACTTGCCTTTAGAGGGAGTCAGGGGTTGCCTTTTAGCTCTTGCAGAATGAGCGGCCGCCGGAGCAGGCTCGAGCATGAAACCAGTGCTCGTGTGGAGGAACCACTGCAGAGCAGGCGGGCTGCTAAGGGCTTAATGCAACCCCCTCAGTGAGGGGTCTGCAAGCCCTCGGGGCTGCTCTGCACCCACCAGGCCCCATCCCACCCCCCGGAGCCTGCGGGGCTTTGCAGTGGCAGGGCTTGTGCTCGCTGGGTGCCCTCAAGCACAGGCTCTCTCTGCACAGGCCCTCCAGCTTCATCCCACTTTATCTCCCAGCCTTGGTGCCCGGCACGACGGAGTGCTTGGAAGCTTGCAGCGCTGAGCTGTTCTGTGAGACGGAATTCGCAGTATTGCCACACCGATCTACTAGGGACAGGACATGTGGCTCCTGGAAGCCTGTCTTGAGCTCCTGGTGAATATTGATTGTCTTACTGGAAACCTGGAATTCGCAGTATTGCCACACAGATCTGCTAGGGATAGGACACGTGGCTCCTGGAAGCTTCTCTTGAGCTCCTGGTAACTGCAGTGAATATTGATTGTCTTACTGGAAACCAAAGAAAGATGATTATTGTTATTATTTGTTTCTCATTAACACTGATATAAATAGCAGGAAATCTGGAATAGCAACAGCTTCTTGGTCGTTATCTGATGCTGTCTGTGGCTACTGGAGTGCAGTGCTACCTGCTCCTTCAGGACCTGTGGTCAAGGGGAGGTACTAGCTGCTGAAAATGGGAGGGAAGCAAAAGGAAGAAGAAATCTGGCTTGGCTTTATTATAGCTTTGTGTGAGTGGTATCACAAGGACAAAGAACTAGGAAAAAGAAGTAGGAAAGGCAATGACGCATTCAGTTTTTGGTTAGAAAAGTCTACAGCCATTGTTGTAGAATGAGCAACTTTGTACATAACTGGTCACACATGCTGTTTAATTTTCCTTTCCACAGCTTTTCTGCTGTGCGTCTTGTCTTATTATCTGTGTATTAAATAAAATGTCACTAGGAATTGGTGTTAACCTTAAATGCTTTGTACCTGCTTTGATCCTATTTCTGTATGTGTTCTAGATATGCCAGAAAGATTAGGACTTGGTGGTACAAGGTGCTGTACAAACTTGAAAAGAAAAATATTCTCTGCTCCGGACTGTTTATAGCCTAATCAACAAAGGAAAAGGAAGTATAAGTGGGCTTTTTTTCTCTGAAGGGGGGCTTTTCTGCATTACTTGAAACAGTGAGGTCTCTTTCTGCCAGCATTTGGCACATCAGAAGTGCTCAGATGAGAAGTGGGACTTGGGCTCTTGTCCTGCCTTTAACCCTGAGGTGCCATTTGGCTTGGCAAGTGACATGCCCTTTTTGCAGAGCTGCTCTGCCTGCCTGTATAATTAGTTATTGCAAAATTAGTGAAGTTATTAGCTGTTAGTAAATCACACTTAGGCACTGGACGTGGCAGAGCCCTGGGTGTAAGTGGGAGCTTGCACTGATGCTGCTGCTTGCACGGGAGAAGCTGAGGCAGCTGCATAGTTGAAATACCGCAGTGATTCTCACATTGTTTGTGCTTGGTTTGTGTCTGTGTTAATGGGAGATGTTTTTAAAGCTTTTTAACATGTTAAATCAGGAGAACATTCAGCCTGGAAGCACTGTTTTTTTTTTTTAAGGGCAGATATTCTTTAGGCTAATTCTGTGCTTAGATGGGAGCAGTAGGAGGCTGGACTCCCATGCGGTCTGTTCCAGCACTTATATCCTGCTCACATATAAAAAAGTGGATAGTGCCTGTAGGTCTAGCATGGATCAGGTGCTTGGAGATGCTGAGTATGTATAACATTAACAATTCTTTAAATAACTGGCTAAAAAGAAAGGTTCGGAAGGAAAAAGGATGAGGTCACTTACCTTTGCTACTGTCATATATAGGTAGTGCTGTGGGTCCTGCATTGGTTTGCCCGCTGTCCTACCTGCACAAACCCAAAGCCAGCATCTGTTTGCTCCTGTTGGGAGTAAAATACCATTACTGGAAGGAATAAGCTCCTGGCCATCTCGGTGTGGGCAGAGCAGGGGTTTGGGGGTGCCCCCGCAGTCCCTGGCCGTGCTCGGGTGCTGGAGGCCGAGGAGCGTCTGTCGTTGGGGCAGGACGGAGGCGACGCTCCGCTCAGCCGAGGCCAGCGGTCACCCTTGCTCCTCTTCAGTGAACAGACTCGTTTCAGGCTGCTCTGGCCAGGGGGAAATGATTGGATTAGTCCACGCAGTATTTCATGCTGAGTCTTTTCTGCCATACCTAGTATCACAAGTCAGCAAGATTCTACGAACGATCGGGAATGTTTGATCTGGCCCCCTAATTTTGTTAACTGTTTCTCCTTATATTAATTTACATTTGGGTGATTCTGTAAGAAATTGTAGCGGAATTTAATAACACTAATATTAAAAAACCAATATCAGGTCTGCATATTTCCATCTGATTAGTAGTTTTCTCTTGATTAAATTATGCATTTTTAATACAAGCCCTTCATTTGTCTGCAATAACACGACACTATATCCCTCTGTGTAAAGCCAGCACATTTCAGTTCCCCTTTTGCTGTCAGTGGTACTGGATGCAAATTTCCTTGTTTCTCAGTAATTCTTTCCCATACACAGCATAGTGCTTGCCTAGAATAAAAGATCATGGTAAATCCTGCTTATTCTTGGAAATTGCTCACATACTTATTTCATAAACTTGATATGCTTCATCCCAGAGCACATCAGGAGTAGATGTAATAAAAAATGAAAGTGTCTCAGGGGAAAATGGTTTTTCCTTTTTTTTTTTTTTTTCTTCCTCCCTATAAAATGTATTAGACAAACACACAACATGCTGAAACTGTTTCTCCTTTTGATTTTGCAAGTTGAAGTGGACGAAGGCATCTGTCATTTTAGGACTTGCCACATTAACTTTTTGTGGGGAGAAAGGAAGCCGTTCACTCTTTTCCTAACCCTATTCTTTAAGTTATTCTGCAGTTAAAATGACTAAGAAAACTCATGGCATCATCGAAGTCAACAATAAATGTTTTCCACTGAAGTTCAATGAAACCATGATGTCACACAGCTTGGGTTGCTAAGTTATCAAGAGTTTTTTGCTTGTGGTACTGTCTCATTTATATTCAGAATAGATTTTGTATGAGGGTGATTACAGGTTCAGTCTTTTTCCTGTGGTCGACTGTGCCTATAGCGAAGAGAGGCACTTTCACCCAGTTCATTTCCAAGATTTCCTCATCAAAACATTACATTGGATTGGAGAGCATTAAATTGGTCTCTTTGGCTCCGCTTGGCAACTGTTGTAACTCGCACTGATTTGGCAATGGTCCTGTCTCTGCCACCACAGATAAAAAAAGCAGTTCATTTTGGGAAGATCTGCAACACTTCTGTGTTGCATAGTGTTTTTATAAGGTCTCGGGTCCAGTGCCTGTTCACGGGTCCTGTTCTGGCCATTTTCATCCCCCAAACCAATGCCTTCTCCAAGAGCTTGTTCTCACCAGGGGTTTCAAGTTCCAGTTATTAGGTTACTAAGAGGCGAATAAACACAAGTGTGACTCGTGCCTAGCATCTCCTCCGCCGTATACACAGGGTTGTGCTTTACCTCAGACTTCCCGCTGAGTCTGGCTCAAGTTCCACAGGTTGCATCAGTGTTTCACAAAGGACTGGCCAAGAAGTTGGAGGTGCAAGAAACACTCTTCTGGCTGGCTCGAATTCTGAGCACCTGCAAATATTTATGTTGCTTTTTTCTTAGGCAGTGGTGATTTTTCTGGTATGGTATAAATGACTCCTATAGGGCAATCCTAGTTTCTTTACATACTACCCTAAGTCAAGCCATAAGGACTGATCTGGCGGGTTAACTGCTCCTTGACTGCCGGCCCCTTCCTCTTGCCTATGTGATACACGACCAGTTACAATCCCTGGTTAGGTTTCTCTGGAGCTTGCTGGTAAATAATATCGTATATAGATCTTTCTCGCCTCAGGTTCACAAGCTAAATAGGAGCTTCAGTTGTCTGCTGTGTGTGCGCTGGTTTGGGAAAGTGAATATTTGCCTTTCAATACCGTATGATTTTCACAAGAGCACATTCAGTCTTTGTGCCTTTCGTGTCACACACCCTGATTTATGCCTGTTGTTTTAATAACTGGGCAGTGCTTTCCAATCCTTCTGTCAGGCCACTGGCACAAATCACTTTGGAATGGGATTATGACTGTGAGTATCTGTCTTGGTCTTTGCTGGTGCATTGCCTGCTTGCTCTAATCCAAAAATGAAATTATTCAGGGGCTCATTCTTTAACTCAATAAAGAGAAAATAAATTCATTCCAAATGTGGGCTCTGGTCCTAGATGTGATCTGTGTGACCACAGGCAAATCCTCACCCCTCCCTGTCTCATTAATTAGGCAACCTGTGCCTGGGCAGAGCACCTAACACTGTGGAGCTCTGATTTCAGCAGCACTGATTTTTTGGCACTGGTGTAATTTAAATGAAATGCTGAATATCTAAACATCTTTGGGGAATTTTTGTTCTTTTGGGTAATGGCGATATCACTCTTTTCTTAACAGTGGCTACCGTCCTTTTGCCAGAGATGTCCTGCTTGTTACACCTCTGTGTAACTGGGGACAGGCTCCCCTCAACGTCCGTCACAGCCTCCTGGCACATCCCGGAGCAGAGGTCTACAAGATCAACAGGATATTCCCAGCGTTTTGAGGAACCCTTGGATCTAACTGCCCTCATCGTGAAGTCCTGAAGCAGCAGCACACACATGATCATGGCCAGGCCATGGGCCAGTGAGAGAGGTAAGAAACAAATCAAGCTCCTGACTCCCCATCTTTTGGCCTACTCAATAGCCTGCAGTGATTTCTCATGATGTGTTACAGGGATGGAGGAAAAAGTAATTTTCTCTCTTCAAAGAAACAACCATTGTTTTTTTAGCATTACTCAGTTTCATTCCTGTTCCATCTTGATTTGGATAGCAGCTGGGTGAGCAGTGACCCTGGTCCACTCTACCTTCCCTTTTGGTGAGGGAGTAATGACTCAATTCAGCGTGTGTGCACGCGCCTTGTTTTCTTACAGGCTGTTGTTGCCGTCAATGGATCAGAAAATCCACCTGATTAATCAGTGTATGTGCAGGCCTTTGTTGTGTTTTGTTTGATAAGATCTGTGCTATTTTTCATCAGCTCCTGCTATTTCAAACAAGAGCGATCAAGCCGTATATGAATCTGACCCTGAAGTTATGGCCTGTATCAAACATGTTGTCCTTCATGTGTCCCCTTCAGTGCTGTGCATGCAAGATAATGTGTTTATGATGTATGGCTGGGATTGTGCAAAAACCATGCAGAGGACAAGGTGTCCCAGACCCCTGGAAAGGAGCCCCTCGCTTCTACAGCGAGCTCTGGCTCAGGCTAATTGTGCCAGAAGAAACCACTTAGGCTCAGCCCTGAGCGCTGACCTCTCACTGTAACCAGAGTCAAAAGAACAAAGGGTAGCTCTGTAATTAGCTTATCTCCACTGAAATCTCCTAAACTGTGACAACGCACCAGCTGAAGATTGATATGTTCAAGGTAATGTGCCCTCAGCACGCGTTCAGGGGCTCCGTGGGTGACTTTGGGTGGATGCAGCCCCACAGTGCTGCTGGAAACTTTGCTCCTCGCTACCTCCACCCCTCTCCTCAAGGAGGCCTTGCATGGAAAATATCTTCATTTTTCTCAAATGTGTTAGTACTTTCCGTCTTGCTGCCTTGTAGCTGTTACTCGTGGCCCTTAAGGTGCTCCTTCAGTTTTAAAACCAGGCAAAATTCATCATATTCTGCAAGAATGGCAGAAAAGATAAGAAACCACTTCGTTCTCAAGAGGTTAGCTAACACAGTTTGCCTCAAAATAGTGTATCAGTCCTCTCAGCACATGCTGTGTGTAGTTAATAAAAGCTAATAAAATAATTCTACAATTTTTAAAAAAGAAATCCTTATAAAATGCAATTGAAAAATAGCTAGAAATACTGTCTTGGAGGGAAAAAAAAAGCTGTGAAACAAATATTTTAGGAGGGCTTAATCTTCATGTAATATATGCGGTCCAAAGAGGCTGTGGTGGAGAACTTTGCCTAGGCTTGTACACAAGTGACTCTGCTGAACGGACACCTATTGGCACGGTAATCAGGCTTGTGCTAGAGCAGGATCTTGATCCTCTGTCCTGACAGAAGGCAGTGACATATAGTCACTGCCATATAGAGCATGAGGCTGTGCTGGAGCCAAGGAAATTACCCTATGAAGGGAGCACACAGAATATTTAGAAGGGCAGACCTTAAGAAAGGCATGTGTATGCAATGCAGTCATCAGTGAACTGTTTTTCAGGGGCTGGAGTAGCTACTGCTCCTTCTCTCAGACATCTTAATTGAGGGTGTGCATGTTTCCACTGTACTCCAGCTGTAAAAATGAGGTTGCTTGTTGGCTGTGAACTCAAATTGTTTCCTTCTGGTTGAGTTATGCCAGCGTATTCTGCAGTTAGGAGGTTGGGAGGAGGCCTGTGTCTGACAGCTGACCAAGATGAACTTGCTAAGACACAAGAGAAAGAGCTCAGAGGTTGCTGGTTGCTGCACATCAGGTCACTGAAAGACCTGTGAGAAATTCCTGCTCCTCAGACATGCAGGTGAACATCTCGAAAAACAGCGAGTACCAACTGCAGCAGAGCTTCAGCCAAGAGCTCAGGTAAAGGCTGTGTCTCTCCACTAGAGAAGTCAGTTTGTATAAATCTGGACTGTAAAGGGTCTGAGTTTTGGAGACAGGCAAGCTCACACTGCAGGCGTTTTTCCGAGACATAGATAAAAGTCTCACATAAATACAGCTTTGAAATCTTAAAGGAGAGGTTAACAATACATATATGGGCACATGAAGCTCAGAGTAAGTAATAATTCTACAGATTTTTATTAGGAAGTAGATCTGTGGGAACAGCAATGCGTGATAAATCAACATATCTGCCTTCTTACTGGCTTTTATGATAGACATTAGCAGTAACAACTGTCACAGAGATCATAACTGCTTTATTTCAACTGTCTCTATAAAGCATAGTCAAATATAACCAGTTGTTATTTTTTGAGTGCAAACTTTATTTTTGTGCATTGAATGGATGGCAAAGAGATCCTGGTAAACTTCAAATCTGAAGCGAGGGAAAAAAAAATAATATAACTTGTACATTTTGGTTGGGTTTTCTTTAAATCCAGCCTTTTCTCACCTGCTCACATTTCTGCTCCTACAGGAGCTGCTATCATGAATAATGTAATGGCTCTCCTCAACCTGGAGCTGTCTGTGAGAGTGTTAAGGACAAACTGTCCTCTCCTTTGTAGTTCTGGAGTGTTTTTGCTGCTGGAAAACTGACACCACCAGCAAAACGCAAATGTTTAATCTTTTGTGGTTCTATCCTTGAGTAAATCAGCTTATAAGTAATCTGATTATGTATAAGGCCATATTACATAGACATATAAATTAAGCAGATAGTAAATAATAGCATTGCCAATGAAATGATTTCAATAAGTGGTTAGAGAGGCAGTTCTGCATTTAAAAATATTTGTATGTTTTCTTTCAAAGACAATTAATTTTACACCTGAGGCTCATCATTTCAGCCAGTCTAAATTCTTGTGAGGAACTGGGCCCTCAACTTGGATTTGAAACTTCCTGGAGCCTCTTTGCAAACCTTGGGAAGAGGAGAATGTTATGTCTGTGCAAGTGTGCTATGTACATGCACGCTTCTTGAATGTTTGCTCACAAACCGTTGAGTTTAATGTCAAATGCAGTGTGTTTTTCTCTGGAGCTGCTTTTGGATTAAAATCGTTGTCAGAACTGGAAGCTCTGTAACGTAGGACAGTAGCTGCCCACACGTTGAGAGGTGAGTTTATGCAGGCCCCATGGAAAGGCCAGCTGGTTTATCTCCCATGTGTCCTCTTGACCACGACCCTGACAACACCACTCCTGACTCTCACGTCTTTGATAAAACACCTTGTGGCTGCCCTGGAGAGTAATCAGGCACTTAATTGCAGTCTTCTCAGAGTACTTGTTCTCTGTGCTTAGTCCTTCAAATACTGCTTGGTCCATATGGCGCCGCTGACACTATAGAATGATACTATGGATTAATTGCAGCTGGGGACATGATTAGAAAGGGAGCTTTGTGTGCACTGCTCTCTCACGAGGTGCGCAGTTGTGAAGAAACCTGACACATCTGCCAGGGCTGTCTAAGAAACTATTAGTCAGTTGCTACCTCCTGTGCTCGAGAGCTGGAGGCAATTTCACAGTAATAGTTTCCAGGTTTCTTTCACACGTGCGACCATAGTGCTGAGAAGCTGACTTAAATATGTATCATGGAATTGCATCCTTAATAGAGGCTTTACAGGAGCAAACTGTATATCGGCAATCTGCAGTGGCTGGTCACAGCTGACAACTTCTTTATTGCTCTGCAGACACGTGATGAATGCAGTGGGCCAGGAGGAGGGCACGCCAGCAGGCATGCAAAGATTTGATTCAGCGCTCAAGGTTTATTCCTCATCCTGCACATGCTCGGGGTAAAATCAGAAGCAGGGAGTGTCAGGAAGTACAATATTACTGTGCTGTAAAGGGTGAATTCCTGGGAGAACAAAGAACAAATGGGAGAAAAGGGAGAATCAGTAGCTGGCCTCCTTGTACAAACCCAAAGTGGAGGGACACTTATGATGCACCTTTGGGTCAAGATTAAGAGTAATCTTGTGTGGCTCATGTCTAAATGAATAATATGCCATTTTCTGGTTTTAGTAAGAGTGAAGCTTAGCTCAAACAAAGGCGGTTTTGTTCTTGGCTACATGCACAAATGGGCTTAAGGCTTATTCTGAGATGTGGAGGTAGAAGGTCATTTTGGTACATCTTGGTAGCCAGATTTAAAGCCTCCAAGAAGTTAAATGCAATTTAGCTTGTTTGGAAAAATTGCCTCAATCCTCAGAGAAAGGGGCAAGCACTAAATTTTGATGTGGACATTAGATACTACATCCTCACAGCCACTTGCGTGTCATTTCATGTGTGGGAGACAGAATCCTCCCAAACGGAGGGGCTATGTCAGTGAAGTTGCACACAGTGCTCAGAGAAGTCTCCTCTGTTTACAGTGCTTCCCCTAACAGTATTTTCTGTCAGGAGAGAATAAATGCTTAAAGTACTTGGGACCAGGGGGGACTCATTGGCTGGCATTATTTTCTTGGTTGTCAAGTTTCAGTGATTCAGAACAAGCAGCGATTCCTCTCTGTATAGCTTTAATTACATTTGCTGTCAGAGACATAAGCCATAGGAAAGGACAGGGCCGTAACTTTATTTTAAGCTGGGTAGGACGCAGCTAAATCTCCTGAATCCCTTTCAGCTTTGGAAATGGCTTTCTCCTATCTCAGCGTTCTACCTGGGTTCTCTACATTGTTAGTGCTAAAAGGGAAATAGTACTTTTAATCTCAAAATGCCTCTAGAGCTTTCGAGTGGATCATTTTAAAGTCAACAGTGTTTAAAGCACATTAATGAGGGTATTGACTATAAAACAATTTTATATCTGTGCATAACTGATAAACATGAATGTGAGAGTATATAAGGGAAAAGAGGTGTGGAAACAGTCGTGCTTGGAAAAGCAAACAAATTGTAGAGCTGCAGTTAAAAGGGTCTTGTATTTATGTACCAATAAAGCTGGCTGCAAATATTTCAATGAGACTATTCTTCC